CAAGTCAGGTCCCTCAACTAGTGAGGAAATTTAACTATGGGCATCACACTGCATTGCAAATCAGCTGTCCCACCAACTGAACTAAGCCACCTCCACAGGACTTGAAAGGTCTTAAACAATTGCATGGATAATCTTTGAGATCAAAATGCAGAAACTTGGTACTGTGGTTTTAGGGTAAGATCTGCAGAGGAGATGACATGAGAAGGCAGTTCAGCATAGATATAAAAATGATGGTGATGTTAAAGGGAACTTCTGGTTATCAAATATAAGCAATACTAATAACTAATGTGGTTAAGCCAGATTGGTTGACTAGAATCCTCAAATATAACATATAAAATGGAAAAAACACTGTGCATCACTCTTCTCGTGCTGCTTTATATCGAGTGCAACACTCCTTTTTTGTGTTGCTTTATACCAAGTTCACCAAACATCTTTTTTGCTTTTTTATTTTCAGTTCACTATTGTCTTCATTTACAACTTTATATCAAGTTCACCACTCTCCTCACACTGCGAGGTATGCAGAGTCACTACTCTCATCCAACACTGCTTTACACCAAGTTCACTGCTATCTTCTCACACTGCTTGATTTTGATTTTATTGTCACATGTATTTTACAGTAAGAATACAATAAAATACAGTAAAAGCCTTTCATTTGTTGCCACAATAGGGAGCCATTTTGAATCATTTAAGAATAAGGAAGAAAAGGACAGGTATAGCTTGAAGAGAATCCATCATTCTTGAGCCAGCTCGTCATTGACGCTTGAACTGCTATCCCTCCGCCACTGCTTCACCGCTGTCTACAACAGACCCAACCAACAAAGTTGCTGATCCTCAGGTGTTATCTTTGCCATCACCATACTGCTACCTGCACCGAACCAACCAATGTCACAGTCACATCTCTCACCGCTGGGCTCATCTCATTGGTTGCCATGATGCCCTATTGCCTCTAGCGATGGACCCAACCAACAATGAAGTTGCCAATCCTCAGATGCCGTCTTTTGCCAATGGGCCTACCTCACCAATGTCACCTCTGCTGATGTAGTAGCCAACAATTCCAGGCTGTGCTTGCTCTGGAAAAGTAGGGGTTCACTCTCCTTCGTGCTGGGCCAGCTCAAGTTCCACGCACTGGGCCAGCCTGAGGTCCACAGTAGCCCCACCCAACGTCCCTGGACCCAGTTCGAGACAATTTGAGGTCCACGCCCTAGGCCTGCTTGAGGTCCATGCCCTGGGCTCTCGCCACCGTGGATGCAGTCCAAGCTCAGGACAAGTTAGGTAAGTAACAAAAAAGGAAACAAAAAGAAAATGGAAAGCATTCAGAGCGGACAAGCTCCAGCACAAGAGCCCTACTCCCCTGCCATCTTGGACTGTAAGTGAATTTATGTTGAACTCAGCATTGCCCTCATGCACAGATTTTTTTAAGTTCACAACTCACCTTACTCACTGTTTTACAGTGAATTCACCACTCTCCTCTCACACTGCCTTCTATGCATTTCACTGCTCTCTTCTCATGCTGCCTTACACCAGATTCACTTCTCACATCTTGCACTGCTTTCTTCCAAGTTCACCACTCTCCTCAAATGCTGTTTCATACCTAGTTTACTGTTCACATCATGCACCACGAGTTCACCGAGCAACACACACATTGCTTTATACCAAGTTTACTTTTCAATGCAAGCACAACTTCATACCTTGTTCACCACTCTCCTTTTAGCACAGCTTCATACCAAGTTCACCGCTCATTTCTCACGCTGCTTTACATTGGGTTCACTGTTCTCCTCTCGTACTGTATACCAGTGTTCAACAATTTCTTCTCATGCTGCTCTGTACCATGTTCACTGCACTCCTCATGTGCTAACACAGTGGAGCTGGAGGAACACAGCAGGCCAGGCAGCATCAGAGGAGCAGGAAAGCTGACGTTTCGGGTCAGGACCCTTCTTCAGAAATAGGGGAGGGGAAGGGGGCTCTGAAATAAATAAGGCGGGGGTCGGGCTGGGGAAGGTAGGTGGGATGGTGATAGGTGAGTGCAAGTAAGCAGTGGTGGGGATTGGTCAGTGAGGTGAGAGGAGCAGATAGGTGGGAGAGAAGATGGACAGGTCAAGGAGGCAGGGATGAGAGGGAGGGTTGGTCATGGGATGAGGCCGGGGATGGGGAGATTTTGAAGTTAGTAAAGTCCACATTGAGACCATTGGGTTGTAGGCTCCCAAGGCGGAACATGAGGTGCTGCTCCTCCTGTTTCCGGGTGGCGTCGTTGTGACACTGGAGGAGGTCCAGGATGGACATGTCATCCAGGGAGCTTCTTCATGCGCTACCTTAACTGGGTTCACCATTCTCCTCTCGCACCACCTTACCCAGCGTTCACTGCTATCATCATGCTGCTTGTATGCAGCTTCAATTCTTACATTGCTTTATTCTGAGCTCACTGCTCTCCTCACATACTGCTTCATAGAGTTCACCACTCACCTGAGGCACTGAGTAGTGTCCCAACCTGTTTAAGTTTTGCTCATAAGACAATCCCACCATAAGGCCAAGGTGGGTGGGGGTGGGGTAGATTTGTCATCCTACTGAAGCTTTTCTAAACTGCCTCCAATAAAATATTTTCTTAATAAGGGGATGAAAACTGCTCACAGTACTCCAGATGTGGCCTCACTAGCACCACAAAGAGTTGCAATTAAATTTCCCTACTCTTATAATCCACTCTCTTGAAATAACGGCCAACATTCCATTAGCCTTCCTGATTACCAACCATGAGTTTTCTCTGTTTAATGCTCAAGTACTCCTAAGTCCCTTTCTGTTGCAGTTTTTTTGCAGTTTTTCTCCACTTGAATATTACTGTTCTTTTGTCTTCCCTTCCAAAATGAACTTCTCATTTTCTCACGTTATACTCCATTTGCCAACGTTTTGCTCACTTACTTAACCTGTCAATACCTCTGTGTAAACCGTTTCTATCCCTGTCGCAACCTGCCTTTCCAGCTATTTTTGTGTAACTGCAAATTTAGCTGCTATAAATTTGTTTCCTTTCTCCAAGACAAATATATTACGAACAGTTGCGCTCCAAGCACTCGTCCTTGTAGATTTCAAGGATATTTGGTAAAATTTCTCGTGCTGCTTTGTACTGAGCTCACACATCTTCTCACATTGCTTTTTACCAAGTTCACCGGCCTCCTCTCACGCTGCTTTATACTAAGTTCATTGCTCTCCTTTCATACTTCTTGGTATGCAAATTCACTGCACTCCTCTAGCACTGCTTTATGCCTGAGTACACTGCACTCCCCACGTTCCTTGGTATGCAAGTTTACCGCTCTACCACTGCTGTATACCTGTGCTCACCACTCTTCTCTCATGTTGCTTGATACCAAGTTCATTGCTCTCCTCTCACACGGCTTTATGCTAGTTTCACTGGTCTGCTCTTGCTGCTCCATACCAAGTTCACTGCTCTCCTCATGTGCTCCCTCAAACCAAGTTCAGGGCTCTCGCACTGTCTTACACTGAGTTCACCGTTGTCATCTTATGCCACCTCATACAGCCCACTTTGCTTCTCGTTCTGATACGGAGTTTTCCATCTTCTCTTATATTGTTTCATACTGAGTTCATCGCTCTATTCTAGCACTGCACTACACCGAGATCCCTGATCATTTTCATTGAAATGAGCATTGTCTTCAGACACTGCTTTTTGCTGACTTCACACACCATCTCATGCACTGCTTTATACAGACTTCCACATCTCTTCTCATGTTGCTTTAGTGGTATTATAGTATGATTACTAATCTGGAGACCCAGGCTAATGTTCTGGGGACCCAGACTCAAATCCCACCACAGCAGAGGGTGGAATTTGAATTCAATAACAACATGGAATTAAAAGACTAATGATGACCATGAAACCAATGCCAACAAAATCTGGTTCACTAATATCCTTTCGGGAAGGAAACTGTCATCCTTACCTGGGCCTGCTCTAGCCTACATGTGACTCCAGACCACAAGAGCAATGTGGTTGACTCTCAACTAACCTCTGGGTGCCAACTAGCCACCAAGACACATGACCAATTCCCACTGGTCTCAATACACACAAAGGACACAAATTCGAATGGGACAACACATCCACAATAGCACAAGCCAAACAGAGACATGCCAGGAAATTCCTGGAAGTCTGGCATTCCAACCAGAACTCCATCAACAAACACATTGAACTGGACCTGATATACAAACCACTGAAAAACAGAACCTGAAGTGATGGCAACCACCCAGCAAACTCAGGCATATAAACAGCAAGTGGTCCTTACTTCTTCCTTGTCAACCTTTCTGCAGCCTTTGACAGAGCTGACCTGCCATCCTCCTCCAAAGCATCTGCATTGTCAACCGGCTGGAAGGGATTGTTCATGGCTAGTTCCATTCTTATCCACGTAATCGCAACATTAAAACTTATACCAACTGTCTGGGAGAAGTGCATTTTTGGTGAGTATGTGTCACAGAAATGGAAAAGAAAGTGACATATATTTGAAAAATGAAACAAAAACAGAAAGTGCTGTAAATTCTCGGCCAGGTCACTTTCTGTTTTTATTTGAAAGTCGATGTCTTCGGTGAGATAACTGGGGGAAATAGGACAATTCAGCCTACAACCTCCTGAACTCCGTAATAAAAGCAGAAAGTGCTAAAGCATCTCAGCGTTCGTGAAGAGACTGCTTCGACTCCAACATAAATCTTCTTCAGAACTAAGCATCCAGGTTTCCTGACTTCCAGCTGTAACCGCACTACGTTAGGGTACGCTGGAACCTGCTGTTTGACTTACACTCCAGTCATGATATGGTATGGTAACTAAATGAACAAGGCCCATCGCCAGAGCTAACGGTCAATCAACGCAGCGGACAACCAGCGCAGGAACACGCGCCACTCGCGGACCTTCCGCCCAGCGCTTCGCGCGAGACGCGCATGGAGGATCTACCAATCAGAGTTTGGTGTCAATCTCACGTGGTGCTAACGTGTATTTGGTCGATTGGTGGGGGTGAGGGTGCTGTCGCGGTGCATAGTGGGAGCGGTTGCTCGGGCTGAGTCAGTTCACTGGCGGCGCGAGCGGGACGTGATCACGTTGGAGATCGGTATCGGTGGCCTGGTAATCACCGGGGAAGGGGATAAATAGGGATCGAATAATCATCGAAGGGGAGAGTAATTAGCGGAGCAGATGGGGGATAAATAGGGTTCGAATAATCTTTGAGGGGAAGAGTAATCTCCGGGGGACAAATAGTGATCGACCCGGGGAAGGGCGAACATAACCCAGCGGAGAAAGAAGGGGATCCACCCGAGGGAGGGGAAGAGTAATCACCCGGGGAGCAGGGATGTACTGGGGGTGGGGGAAGGAATCACAATGAGGCGGGCGGGCGTGGGTGGAGGATTATCAGTGGGGGAGGGAAATCACAGGAGAGATCGGATCACAGGTGGGGGTAAGTCGGGTAGGAGAGAAAGGAATGGAGACTGAGAGGGAGGCTGGTGGAAAGAGTATTGGGGCTGAGGAGAGGGTGTATTGAGGTCATTGAAGTGCGGTTGTAGGGATTTTGCGGGTGGATGCATTGGTTCCTGAAGCATAGGTAAGAAGATGCAGGAAGAGGGTGGATGTTGCAGCACAAAATCATAGAATCCCTACAGTGTGGAAGCAGGCCATTCTGCTTGTCATGTCCACACCAACCCCTTGAAAAGCATCCCACCCACATCCCCCTGCCCTATACCCCTACATTTCCCATGCCTAATCTTCCTAACCAACACATCCCTGGATGCTGTGGACAATTTAGTATGGCCAACCCACTTAACCCACATATCTTTGGACTGTGGGAGGAAACCAGAGCACCCGGAGGAAACCCATGCTAACACAGAGAAAATGTGCAAACTCCACACGGACAGTTGCCCGAGGCTGGAATCAAACCTGGGTCTCTGGTGCTGTGAGGCACTGCTAACTACTGAGACACCCTGCAGCCCAGCTTGTTGCCAGTTATCTAGTACATCTACCCCATTAATCCTACTTTCTTTCTCTTCCCATGGCCTTGTAATTGTTATCTTTTAGGTGATTATCATATCTCCTTTTGAAAGTTACTGTTGAGCCTGTTCCACGCCATCTTTTTAAATATGGGGAGGCAATGGCCTAGTGGTATTATTGCTGGACTGTTAATCCAGAGACCCAGATAATGATCTGGGGACCCAGGTTCAAATCCTGCCATGGCAGATGGTGGAATTTTGAATTCAATAAAATATCTGGAATTAAAAGTCTAATGATGACTGTGAATCCAATGTCAATTGTTGGAAAAACCCATCTAGTTCACTAATGTCCTTTAGGGAAGGAAACTGCCCTCCTTACCTGGTCTGGCCTACATGTGACTCCAGACCCACAGCAATGTGGTTGACTCTGAACTGCCCTCTGGGCAATTAAGGATGGGCAATAAAAATGCTGCCTAGCCAGCAATGCCCTCATCCCGTCAATGAATAAATGAAAACAAATATTGTTGTCCAAATCGTGACGTACTCATCGTTTATCTTAAAGTTACCAATCTTTCTGCCACTGGGAACAATTTTTCTTTAGCTTTCTTAATAATAAGTATTCTTGATGTTGAACATATTAAATCTTCTAATTTTCCCTGCTGTACGGAACAATATGAATGACATTCTCGCAGAGAGAAAAGTGAATTTAATTTTCCAGAAAAACTGAAGTTTTGCTTGAGATGAAGGAGTAACTCAAACCTTTCTGGGTGGCTTTAACCTGTTAGGTCACCTGTTAAATTTTGTCATTTGTCATAGGTCTGGAAGCTGATTGGCCACCATGGCGTCCCGTGCAGGCCCACGTGCAGCAGGAACAGATGGCAGTGACTTCCAACATAGAGAAAAAGTGGCTTCACATTATCAGATGAGGTATTATGCTTTTATGAATCATATTTATGCAGAACAGCCCAGAATTATGCCATATGCTTAAAAGGCAAAATGTTATGAGCTAATGGTGCAGATTGTGTAGTAGTACTGACTCACACGGAAAGGACAGGGGTTTAAGGCTTGTTAAATTGTCATCAGAGGGATCGAGCATGGACTTCACATGTCTAATAAATTCCTGTGCTGCAACCAGTTCATGACCCTACTGAAAGAAAAACACTTTTGAAAAAGCTTGCCTTTGTTGATTACTGAAAACTTAGTTACAACTTAATGTGCTAACTTCATAAATACCAACAAATGCCCACCTTGGTTTTGGGAAGCTAATTTTAAATTTGTGGAATATTGATAAATTCCAAATATCTAAAAGTAAGTTTGATTATAGTATATTTTAGCTTCTGAATAAATCTACTTACTTATTTTGCTCTTTGAAGACTTAAATTAAAATAAACGGATTCATGGTTTATTTCCTACTTTGCTGTCCGTGGCATTGCTTCAGTGTGATTGGCTGCTTATCCTGCTTGTGACATCACTGCTGAATGCCTGGAATTCTTTCGATTTGCACCAGGTTAAAGATGCTGTGTAAAATGGCAAGCCTGTGTCACAAATCACTTGACCTTTGTGAGCAGCTTTGGGGTCAGTGTCAAATGCTGACTGCAAATATACTGTAAATGTGAATGGTTTATTCACATAGATTACTAGACTCCATGTGCAGTCTAACCAAGGTCACAAAATTAAGCAAGGTATTTCATCAGTCTTAATTGCTTGTCTGATCTGCGTGTTAGCTTTCTGTTGACTTATCAATAACGTTGATGTGAAGGTGCTGGTGTTGGACTCGGGTGGACAAGGTCAAAAATCACACGACATCAGGTTAGAATCCAACAGGTTTATTTGAAAACACAAGCTTCAGGTGAAGTTCACCTGATGAAGGGGCTGCACTCCTAATGCTTGTGTTTTCAAATAAACCTGTTGGACTGTAACCTCTAACCTGTTCTTCCTCCCACCTATCCCCTCCTCCCACCTCAAGCTGCACCTCCATCTCCTACTGACCAACCTCATCCCGCCCCCTTGACCTGTCTGTCCTCCCTGGACTGACCTATCCCCTTCCTAACTCCCTACCTACACTCACCTTTACTGGCTCCATCCCCGCCTCTTCGACCTGTTTGTTTCCTCTCCACCTATCCTCTCCTCTATCCCTCTTCTATCCGCCTCCCACTCTCTCCCTATTTATTTCGGAACCCCCTTCCCCTCCCCCTTTTCTGATGAAGGGTCTGGGCCCGAAACATCAGCCTCTCTGCTCCTATGATGCTGCTTGGCCTGCTGTGTTCATCCAGCCCTGCACCTTGTTGTCTCGGACTGTAACCTGGTGTTGTGTGATTTCTGACCTTATTGATAAGGACACTAAAGTCCATTGTTGACCTATACTTTGTGATTGCTTATCATTTAAGTAATACTCTGCAAATCATGTTCCTCTGACCAAAATGAATAACTTCACATTTTTGCGCATTATGCTGTATGTGCCATGTTCTTGTCCACTCACTAAGTTAGTCCAATCTTCAGAAAACACTTTGCATCTTCCGCACAGCACACATTCCCATCTAGCTTTGTGTCATTTGTAAACTTGGGAAAATTGCATTGGTCCCCCACATCCAAATCATTGGTCTATATTTTGAACAGCTAGAGCTTAAGTATTGATTCTTACGGTGCCCTGTTAGTGACAGCCTACCACATGGGAATGACCCATTTATTCCTCCTGCCTGTTGGACAATTCTTAATCCATGTCTGTATAGGTAGTTCTATAATGCAATAGTTGCATTCTTATGTGCCCTCGCACTATAGAAAATTTGCACTATAGAAAAATCACTATTGCTGTACAATGAAAGTTTGCATTATCCAGGCAGCGTACAATATTCATCAATCGCGTTACGGCCAATTCATGTTAACAAAACATGCTTTATAGCAGAATTACCTGTACACTACTTTTGCTTTAATTTTTGCCAAGCAGCCTTCTGTGGAGATGTACAACAAAAGCCTTCCGAAGGTCCAAGTGTACTATGTTGACTTATTCCCATTTATCAATTCTGTTAATTAGATTCACATAAAATACAATTTCCTATTCACAACTCCATGCTCAAACTATATTATCCAAGTCAACACAAACAAAGTTGCTGGAAAAGCTCAGCAGGTCTGGCAGCATCTGTTATTTCGTGGGATGCCCTTTGCCCTTTTTTTAAACAATGGCATCGCTTTTGCAATCCTGCAGGCCCCTGTCAACAGCTTCACTATTTGCTTCCTCACTTCTCTCGGGATGCATCCTTTCCGCACCTTGCAACTTCTTTATTTATCACTATCGCTCAGTTGCTCAACATCCACATTTTCAACTGGGTCATTGTCTCCATCTTCTAACTTCATAAAGGCAGAATCAAGGTATTCATTTAGTACATCTGCCATGCCTTCAGTGATCTTTTTACCCTGCTTGTTCTTTAGGGGCCCCACTAATCTTCTATTATTGATATGTTTAAAGAACATTTTATTATTTGTTTTCACGCAGCCTGCCATCCTTTCCTCATGCTTCCTCTTATCCTTCCTTATTCCGGTCTTAGCCTGTCTCCAGCATTTAAGGCACTCGTCCTGATTTCTAATGCTATTAATATTATTCCAGTATACATCATATGCCCCCTTTTTCATATTTTCTCATTTAATATCCTTAGTCGTCCAGTGTACTGTAGCTTTGGATACCCTGTATTTATTTCTCATGGGTATGTAACTAGCTTGCACCCTTTTCATCTCTCTTGAAAGTCTCCTATTTTTCTTCCAATGTTTTATCCATCAAAATATCCCACACTACCTTTTTCCAATCTTCCTTAGGGTAATTGAAATCATCAACTTTCACAACTCTATTTGTCCTCCGATTTCCATAAACTGACTACAAATGCTTTCCTCTACTTCGTCATTCAAGGGCTATGATACTATCTTTGACCACGACTGCTACACCATTTTTTTTTTTACTTATCTTGTTTGTACTAAAATCTTTAAAATCCTTCTGTGTTAAGTATCCAATCCCACTCTGGCTTGAACCACATTTCTGTTAATGCCACTATGTCATATCCCCCACAGCAATTTCTGCTTTCCCAGTTTTGTTCACTAGATTCCATGCATTTGCGTAATACAATTTAACCCAGCCCTTATCTATTTCTTGCCCATTGGGAGATGACCATTTCTTTGTTCACTGTCAATATTCCGTTCTTCCCTCAATTCCTTTTTAGCATTCCCCACCTTCTGTCTTTAGTCTTCACTGGTACTTGCAAAACTGGGCTTGTTAGTCAACCCACCCCGCATTACAAGTTTAAGCCCATCTCCATTACACTACTCACTCTCCCAGCCAGAAGATTAGCTCCATTTTGGCTCAGATGAAGCCCATCTCTTCTGAACAGCTTTCTCTTTTCCAAAAGCAATCCTAGTGTGCCAAAAATCTAAACCCCTCACCTCTCCACCGTCTCTTAAAAGCCATGCATGTACCTCCCTGATGTGCATTTGTCTAAATGGTGAAGCTCATGGCACAAGTGGTATTTCTGAGATTACTAACTTGGAGGTCCTGTGTTTCAACCTGCTGCCTAACTCCTGAAACTGATTGTACAAGTCCTTGAAGCTGCCCCTCCCTTGTTGGTTCCACATGAACTACAACCACTGATTGTTCATCCTTCCACAACTTAAACCAGCCGCTCTGTTATGTGCTGAACCCTTGTACCCTGGAGGCAACAGAGGACTCTCAATCTCAACTGCTAACTAGATTGAGTATCCCTTGAACTATTTTGTCCGTCGTTGCTGCCATCTTTCTACTCTGCCTACCAGCCTTTCCTTCCTAGAGTGGCTTCAGGCACCATGGTACTGTGATTTTCCCTCTAACCATCCATCCTGGACTCAGTCATGTTGCTCACGAAATAGGATCTAAAATTACATTTCTGTTCAACAGCTCCAAGGGACCCTGAGTTTTCTGGACCTGCTGTTGCTTTGCCTTTCGATGAATAGTCACCCACTCTCCTGTCAGCTCTATACTCCTCCTTGCCTGTCTATCACGATATGGAGTGATGATCCTCTGATGCAACTGGTCCAGAAATCTCTCGCCTTCTTTATGGTATGCAGTGAAGAGAGTCAGCCATATGTTGTTCAAGGACTGCAGTCCGCAGGCACTTCTTATAGGTGTGACGGTCCCGGATGTCTTGTGGTTTCTTAAATGCCACACACATCACAAGCTTCCCCAGAGTCCCTGCCATTTTTACTGGTCACAATGACGCACACTGCTGACGCTCTGCTGTTTCTAAGCTACAAGTAAATTTTCTGACAGTGCCTTTTTCTTTCTTTCTTTGGTTTGAGGAGGAGAGTGGGAGGGAAAAACTACAATAATGTAATGATTTGGCCTTCACCATTCTTTGACATTGGGTCCTTTGCAGTCCCCTGCTCTTTTGTGATGAGCGAGACAACTTCTCACTGTCAATGTCTAGTGGATGTTCTTCCTCCTTTTGAGCACCAGGTTCTCTGTGATCCCCTCCTCGGGTATGATGAGTAAAATGCCTTCTCCCAGAATCCTTCCCAGTCACTTCTCACTACCGCCCTCTTTCATAATTTATTTTTTTTCAACTTTAACATCCCGGCTTCAACTCATTTTAAAAATGAATGTCAATTTCTATCATATTATGCTTGCTTTTTTTTTTCACAGCACCTCTTTTCTAATTGGTACCTCAACATATTGTTTTAGAAGACTATCTCGAACACAGTCTAGAAACTTAGCCCCCACAACAATAGCACTCATTAGGTTTACCTAATCTATGTGCAGGTAGCACTCCCCCATGATTACTGTATTACCCATGCTATGTGCAATTGCAAAATTCTAATATCACATGCAGACTACTATTATTATTTGATGGCCTATAAACAGCTCCTACCAATGTTTATTGCCCCTTGCTGCTTTGTAGTTGCACCCAAACAAATGCCACATTTTGTTCTTCCAATATGCGATCCTCTTTTACTGATTCAACCCTTATTTATCAGTACACCACATCCTTTTCCTTTTCTCCTGTCCTTTCTAAATGTCAAATATCTGAGTATTCAGTTTGTAACCATGTTTCCATAAGGGTGTAATTAGATTATATTGATTTGTGTCAAATCATCTACATTATTGCAAATACTACATGCCTTAAGGTAGTGTCCTAAATCTAATCTTTCTGGCATTATTCCAATTTAAGAGCATAGCTGATGTTCACCTTCAATTTGCCTGCCTTCTAATTTCACTTGACACATTTTGCTTTCTGTTATCAGCTTTGATACATTCCAATTTGACCACCCCGAAACCCCCATCCCAGACCCCTGACAAGCTAGTTAGTACCAGAAAGCTGGGAATTGTTGTACTGCTATACAGTGTCAGAAAAATTAATGTTGTAGATTGCAAAAGACTGGACAATGGGAGAAAAAGAGAGTTAGAGGGATAACCAACGAACTTAATGATGTGGGAACAAGCTGAAATGATGACTGTCATAAAGCAGTTCTGTTTGTGGATTTTGGTAAGAAGGTAGAAGCAGGCTGTACTTTTCAGATTTTCTGAATCCATAGTTTTTTACCTTTGTTTTGCATATCTGGATCACGTGTCCTTTGGAAATCCTACAGGCAAGTAACCTGAAAAGTGACTCAAAAAGTCTCCATTTGGAAAGCAATGGCTCAAATCTAGAAGCCTATATTTGTCAATCCATGGTGTAATAAAAGTACTTTCAAGGTGATTTATATCATTAAATTAAAAGAGTCCACTACATGCAACAACTATATTTTTTCCTAATAAAAATTAAAGAAATTTGTATATCATTATCTTGAGTGCTTCTTTATAGTGAAGGAAATTAATTTAAAATGTTTTTTTTTCAATTCCAGTGTGACTTTGAAGTCTGAGATCAAGAAACTGATAGTTGCACACATGGTAATTTGGACATTGCTCATTCTTCAGGTTATTGTCAGTCACATGAAATTGGTGTCACATGACCTGATAGCTATGCCATACCAATGGGAATACCCCTACCTGCTGAGCATCATACCATCCATCTTTGGTTTTATATCCTTTCCTCGAAACAACATCAGTTATCTTGTGCTCTCCATGATCAGTGCAGGGCTGTTCTCCATTGCTCCTCTAATTTATGGTACCATGGAGATGTTCCCCATGGCACAACAGCTCTATCGGCATGGCAAGGCCTACCGCTTCATCTTTGGCTTTTCTGCTGTAGCAGTCATGTACTTGGTCTTGGTTATTGCAGTGCAAGTTCACGGCTGGCAGATCTACTACAGCAAAAAGTTACTGGACTCTTGGTTTACTTCCACACAGGAAAAGAAAAAGAAATAGTTGGTGGATGAATACTGAGACCTGGTCAATGAACAATGTAAATATAATGGGACTGTATCAGTCCTGTAAATAGTGTTAATAGTCTAGTGTTTAAAGGCTGTAGATTGTTTTGTGTATGCTGTTTTGTTATTAAAACCATCTTTGTATCCTAGTGCATCTGCTTCCACGTAACTTAAAACTGACAGTGGTATGTCTCCTCCAGGACATTTGGTGCAAATGTTATTCCATACTGTGGATGTCAGTGTGATGCTTCATACTCCATTTAAGGATAAAACACAATTACTAAACTGTTGGGAAATGCAGTAAATTCAGAAATGTTTCCAGTGAACCTGATTTTATTGAAATCAAAGATTTGATTGTACTTTGAGTTGAAATGCTGTAACTTGTGATTTTTCAACAGGACAAACATTTTGTTTTTGGTTTAATTGGCTGTGAAAAGCTGCTGTTAAGATTTTTTTATAACTTAATTTAGTCTTGCTAACTAATTAAGCATAAGTTATGTGGCTGATAGAACCGTTACATAGCTTTGGGACTTGTGCTATGCCTCGTCCAGACTGTATTTAAATACAATCATGATTGGATAGAATGTTGAGACCCATAAGATTTGTTCACTCCTTGAAGATCAAGTCAGCCTTTTCATTTACCATGAAAGCATTCCAAATTAACTGAACTATTTAATTAAAAATACTTGTGCTAACGCAATTAAAAGAAGTTAAAGTAGCTATGTTAGTAATTTCAGTAAAGACCAACATATGACAGTACATTTAACCCTTTGCATATACTTTAAGTTGTGTTACACAACTCTCTACATTCTGGATATAGCTCCTGTGCATTGTGCAGTCTGTAATGTTGCATATAAAACCATCTCTGTGTATATTGGATCTCATGATCTCAAGTGTAAAATATATCAAGTGGCCAGTGGATTTTTTTGCATCTGCCTTATTTACTACAGGAAGGCAAATCTTGATATGTGACACAACTATAATATTGTTTGCCTTCAAAGAAATGTAGAGGCTGTCAGCACACCTGCAATTATTTAATAATAACAGCATGCCTACGTAAGAGTCATCGTGCTGAGTAAAAGTGGACTTAATTCCATTGGCAAGTTGTAATCTGGCCTAACAAAATGAGGTGGATTCCTGCTCCATATTCAAACAAACTTGAGGAAAGAATTTCGTCCTGTTTATTTGTGGAGCTGGAAGGAAGTTTAACAGTAGAAAAACACAGATGGAAGGCCTGATAATTGTGGGGAGCATGGGTTGCATTTTAGTTGCTGCAGGTTTGATTTTAAGGCGAGGAGCTTCACATCTAGCTGTCAGACAAATGAAAAAGTTAGGTATAGTTCATTCTAATTTGAGCAAAGTTTGTGTTTTATTTCCAAATGGGCGTCAGTGAACTTAATTTTTTTTCTGATTTTCATTATTTCATATTGTGTTTGCCACAATGGCAGAAAATTGGGTGCATTGCTTAATTCAAAGTTATGTGGTCGTGTAACATAATTTAATTGAGGTCTAATGTAAATGGGATAACTTGATGCATATGTATGTGTTTTGTGCTTTATGAATAAAATTGAGTCATCATACATTTGTCTTTGTAGATGTAATTCATCAGTTTGTCCTGTACATCACTTTGCAAATCTTTAATTGGGTGAAGGATTACTGTTGAAAAACTCTGAATCATTATTAATATTTTTAGTGACAAGGTGTAAACAAAGGGGCTGGTCTTCCACTTCAGGAAGTGGAGTAGAGGGCACGCCCCTGTCTGCATCAATAGTGCTGAGCTGGAGATGGTCGAGAGTGTCACGTTCCTGGGAGTGGTGATCGCCAAACAATCTGTCCTCGTCCACCCACGTCAACACAACAGTCAAGAAAGCACAACAATGTTTCTACTCCCTCAAGAGGCTAAGGAAATTTGGCATGTCCAAGAGGCATTCTCCAACCTTTATAGATGCCCCATGGAAACCATTCTATCTGGACGTATCGTGGCATGGTATGACAACTGCTGTTCCCAAGACTACAAGAAATGACAGGCATGAACACAGCCCAAACCATCACAAAAACCAGCCTCCTATCCATTGACCACAGCTATGCACCCCACTGCCTCGGGAAAGCAACCAACATAGAGACCCCTCCAACCCTGGATATAAAAGTTTGAATACATATATGCACAGATTCAAAATGAGCTTCTTCCCTGCTGTTAGACTTTTGAATGGACTTCCCAAATGTTAATTCTAATCTCTTTTTGCACCTTCTCTGTGACTGTAACAGTGTATTTGTCGCTCTGTTCTGCTACCCTGATGAACTACGTTTGGGACAGTTTGTCTGCACAGTTCGCAAAGCAACATTTTATGCTGTTTCTCAGTACTCATGACAAAATAAATCACTTAAACTCTTAAAAATCAAACCAACTTTCAACTCTATCATACAGTAAATAGTTACAAACTCGCAACAAAAAAAAATTTTCATTCACATTCCCCAAGTTTTTAGAAAGAAAAGCAATTTTAGTTCCAGCATATTGAAATTGAGAAAAGAATGAATTACTCTGATTTGTAATATACTTCAACTTCTATTCCTGACCTTGCTGCCTTATAGTCCCAAAATTATTAATTGAAGCAGGTAGTTCAGAATTGACAAATTAGTATTTGAAAATTTTTACAAGATGGTTATATTGCATATTACCATAGTCAAATAAATACAGCTTGTCTCTCTACAATATAAACTTAATTTCTTCAACTTTCGTTTCATTGTAATGCTGGCAAACCTTTGAAACCACAATAATTGCCAATATGCAGCAAGTGCACTACACTGAGATTAAGTGACAACTTTAAATTGGTTTACCAGCGTAATTCCTTCCACTAAACTTTAAGAATTATCCAATTGCATCATCACATCTAATGTTGGACATTGGGTTTTGGTTAGTACCCTGCTTTATGTAAACCACAAAAGGGATGTGTTGTGAATTACTCAACAAAATAAGTGACAGCCATTCACTGGTTCATTTCTCAGGTAAATGTCATGACCAATCTGTCAACTTGACCAATTTAAAATATAAACAAAGTCTGGCTGACAACTGTTATATCAGTTTTAATTGGTATATTCTCCATGGTAGTACCTTTACTATTCAGCACTGTTCTCTCAAGCAGCATAAATGTTGGTTTCCACTTCTGTTGTGAAATGTCCTGATGAGTGAAAGACAAACTTCCAACATTTACCCTGTCTCGCTCTGTAAGAGTCTGAAATGTTTCAAATCACCTCATTCTTTTAAATTCCAATAAATGTAGTGTCAACCTGTTTAATCTTTGCTCATAAGACACTCCTTCCCACTGGGGATCATCCAAGTGAACCTTCTGTGAGTTGCCTCCAATGAAATAATATATTTTCTTAAATAAGGGCAGCAACACTGCTCACTGTGCTTCATAAGTGGTTTCACTAGTACTCAGTCGTAACTGTTCTGATGAGGAGACGTTATACTCCCAAGCATCCCGGATGTCTGCCCTTTTTCAAACAATGCTCTTTCTCCCCCTCTGTCATCCAGACAACCCTCCATCGCGCCTCCTACATTCCCCACTCTACAACTCTTAACCACCACCCTCCCTCCAAACATAATAAAGATAGGGTCCCCTTTGTCCTCACTTTCCACCCACCAGCCTCCGCATCCAACATATCATCCTCAAACACTTCCACCAACTCCAGTTAGACCCCACCACCCGGAACATCTTCCACTCCCCACCCCTCTTTGCCTTCCCCAAGGACCATTCCCTTCACCACTCCTTAGTTCACGTCACGCTCCCCAAAAACCATTCCAACACACCCAGTACCTTCTCCCTGCAACCATAAAAGACGCAACATCTGCCCACACGCCACCTCCATTCAAGGCCCTAAACAGCCCTTCCAAGTGAGACAGCTTCACCTGCATCTCCTCCAACCTAGTCTATTGCATCCAGTGCTCCCAATGTGGTCCTCTCTACATCAGTGAGACCAAACGTGGACTAGGTGACCATTTCACTGAGCCTCTCTGCCTGGCCCATAATGGCCAACATAACCTCCTGGTCCCCACCCATTTCAACTCCCTGTCCCACTCCCTCTCCAACATGTCCATCCTCAGCAACTCAGAACGCAAACTTGAAGACCAACACCTTATCTTGCGCCTGGGCACCCTACATTGTGTTCTCCAATTTCAAATAACCTTGTGACCCATCCCCTGCCTCTCCTTCCAGCCCCACCTCCTCCCTTCCATTATACCTTCTGACCCTCCCTTCCAACCACCAATTGAATTCATCCCTACCATCGACCAATCACATTGTACCTACCACCAGTGTCCACCTATCACCAACATTCCACCTCCACCCCTTCTCCCCTTCTTTATCTGCAGCCCCCCCTACCCCCACATCCAGTCCTGATGAAGGGTAATACCCGAAACATTGACTGCTCCTTTCCTCCAGATGCTTCCAGCCTTCCATTTGTCTACCTTGGATTCTAGCCTCTGCAGAGATAGTAGGAACTGCAGATGCTGGAGAATCTGAGATAACAAGGTGTAGAGCTGGATGAACACAGCAGGCCAAGCAGCATCAGAGGAGCAGGAAGACTGATGTTTCGGGCCTAGACCCTTCTTCAGAAAGTTTCGGGTCTAGGCCTGAAACGTCAGCCTTCCTGCTCTTCTGATGCTGCTTGGCCTGCTGTGTTCATTCAGCTCTACACCTTGTTATTCCAGCCTCTGCAGTTTTTTTGTCTCTGTCCTTCACTAGTACCTTGTACAGTTGCAGTAAGATTTCCCTACTGTCATACACCAATTTGCTTGAAATAAGGGCCAACATTTCATTAGCCTCCCTGATTACCTGCTGCACCCGTGTGCTAGCTTTCAGTGGTTTCATGCACCTTTGTGTTGCAGCTTTCTGCAGATTTTCTTCATTACACTGTTCTTTTGTTCTCCCATCCAAAATGAACAACTTCACATTTTCTCCACACTATACTTAATTTGCTAACTGTTATCCGACTTACTTAGCCTATCAGCATCTTTCTGTAAACTGTTTGTATCCCTCACAATCTGTCTTTCCACCTGTTTTGAGACATCTGCAAATTTGGTTACAGTACATTTGATTTCTTCCCATTAATATACATTGTAAACACTTGCAGTCCCAGCACTGTTCCATGTAAAACACCACCGGTTATAGGTTGCCAACCTGAAAAAGACCCCCTTATCCCCACTCACTATTTCCTACCCATTGGGCAATTCTCCTTCCATGCCAATATACTACCTCTAACACCCTGGGCTCTTATGACTTAACTTTTTGTGAGGTACCTTGTTGAACGCTTTCTGGAAGTCCAAATACTTACATCTGTTGGTTCCCTCTATCCACTGTGGTATGAGTTTAGTTAGGCTACAGCTCGAGTACTGTGTGCAGTTCTGATCACCACCAGATGTGATTGCACTAGAGAGGAGATTCACCAGGATGTTGCCTGGGCTAAAGTGTTCCAGCAATGAGGAGAGACGAGATAGGCTAGTATTGTTTTCCTTAGAGCAGAGAAGACTGAGGTGCGTGCTGGTTGAGGTGTACAAAGTTATGAACAGTGTAGATAGGAAAAAGCTGATGACATGAAGGTTGGTGGAGTTGTGGATAGCATGGAGGGCTGTTGTAGGTTACAACGGGACATTGACAGGATGCAGAGCTAGGCAAAGAAGTGGCGGATGGAATTCAACCCAGAAAAGTGTGAAGTGATTCATTTTGGAAGGTCAAATTTGCAGAATATAGGGTTAATGGCAGGATTCTTGGCAGTGTGGAGGAACAGAGGGATCTTGGGATCCACATCCATAGATCCGCCAAAGTTGCCACTCAAGTTGACAGGGTTATAAAGAAGGCATATGGTGTGTTGACTTTCATTGGCAGGGCAATTGAGTTTAAGAGCGGCGAGGTTATGCTGCAGCTCTATAAAACCCTGGTTAGATCACACTTGGAATATTGTGTTCAGGTCTGGTCGCCTCAGTATAGGAAGGATGTGGAAGCTTTAGAGACGGTGCAGAGGAGATTTACCAGGATGCTACCTGGACTGGAGGGCAGGTCTTATGAGGAAAGGTTGAGGGAGCTAGGGCTTTTTTCATTGGAGCGAAGAAGGATGAGAGGTGACTCGATAGAGGTGTACAAGGTGATGAGAGGCATAGATAGAGTGGATACCCAGAGACTTTTTCCCAGGGCGGAAATGACTATTATGAGGGGGCATAATTTTAAGGTGATTGGAGGTAGATATAGGGGAGATGTCAGAGGTAGGTTCTTTACACAGAGCGTTGTGGGCGTGTGGAATGCGCTGCCAGCAGTGGTAGTACGGTCAGATACATTAGAGACATTTAAGCGACTCTTGGATAGGCACATGGGTGATAGTATAATGTAGTGTAGGCAGGGTAGTTTGATCTTAGTAGGATAATAGGCCAGCATAACGTCGTGTGTCTAAGAGCTGTACTGTGCTGTGCTGTTCTATGTTCTAACCAGCCCAACAAAGTCCAAAACCCAACACATCAAGTTCTTCCCTTTAGTAGAGGGGTCAATAACCAGGAGGTGTAGATTTAAGGTAAAGAGCAGGAAGTTTAGAGAGAGAAGTTAAGAAAGAATTTTTCCACCCAGTTGGTTGTTTGTATCTGATACTCACTATGTGAAAGGGTAGTAGAAGTCGGAATGATCACATTTACAAAGTATTTAGATAGTTACTTGAAATGCCACATGATTCAAGACTACAAATGAAGTGATGGAAAATGGGATTAGCATAGCTAGGTGCTTGATGAGAGGTGTGAACATGTTTGGCCAATGGCCTCTTTCAAAGCAGTGTGATATTCACCAGGTGGAACAGTCTCAAGGGCTGAATAGCCTACTCCTGTTCCTAAGTTTCTCCTTCTCCTTCCTAGGCAGTTCCTCTGGATTGTGGATAACTTGCTACCCCTCTGTTTCGATTCTGGTTATTATAGATTTAAGAAGGCAGTGGAGTAGGACACTCCAGCCAGAGCTCGTTGCCTCAGTCCATTCCTTTTCTTATTTTTCTCGTTTTTTGCTTCCCAGGCGGGAAAACACACCAACGCTTCATCAGAGGCTGCACTGAAGATGTTACCAAGCATGGTAACGAAACATCTGCGAAACAAGAAACCAGCTTGGCAAGCCAACTAACCTCAACACCCACAACCCGAGCTACAGATCTACTCCAAAACCTTTCTCCTTTTTTGTCTCTCATGTTTTGTTTTTCTTTCTGCTGTCTTTTTCTTCTTCTGCCAGCAGCCTGGAGTAGAGCTCAGGTGGCTAACGGAAGAGTGATGGTGACCTGGAGCAAAGTGGGAACAAACAGCGGCCCTGGAACAGGGACAGTCAGTGAAGTGGGGATGACATACAGTGGGCCCGGAGCAAAGATGGCTTCTGGTTGGGAACCAGTGGAGCCTGGTTAGACCATGTGGAAGCCCTATAGAAAGACTGTAATGCCTGTCTTTTTCAGCTTTATTTCTCATTTTCTAATTTGTACTTATGTATATCTGTAATGCAGTGTAACTCTTTTTCTTTATTTTCTCTATTTTAGTATGTAAGATTTGTACCTCGGTACTTTGTGCCTAAGATGACGCTGTGTGTTGGTGACATTGTACACTTTTCACTGTACTCCTGTTCTTCTGTAACTTGAGTAAATATGACAATGAACCTAATTCTAATTCGTCTGAGATGGCTGCTAAGACCAAAGTATGATTTCCAGACTCTACCTCATGTGGAGCTCATGGTGCTTGAAGGTTTGGGTAAATGGATTGTTTGGAGGTTGGTGCTGTCCCTCCGAAGCCTTGACTTCATCTCGGCTCATTCCTGATGTGTAATTTCTCAATACGCCTGGCCTGTTCCAAGTAAGTCTTATCGTTTGGCTCCATCACAAGGTAGGATTTCTCATGAGTTGGAAGGTATGTTTGACCTCTTCAGCAATGTTCTGGGGACTGTCGCCTGAGGAGTCTCTAGCCACAACTGAGTTCCAATTACAGCAATTGTTTCGAGCATCTAGTGTCAGGCATATGAAAGCAGAAATGCCAATTCTCTAGAGTTTGCAGGAATTAATTCTGTAAGTTTTACTGCACAGCATTAAATTGCAGTGCTTCCTTCCAGGGGAAGTGATGGACCAGTGGTATATCACTAGACTATTAATCCACAGACCAAGGTAATGTTCTAGGAAGCAGGAAGGCTGACGTCTCGGGCATAGACCCTTCATCAGAAATTTTTGATTTCTGATGAAGGGTCTAGGCCCGAAACGTCAGCCTTCCTGCTCCTATGATGCTGCTTGGCCTGCTGTGTTCATCCAGCTCTACACCTTGTTATCTCAGATTCTCCAGCATCTGCAGTTCCTACTATCTCTAATGTTCTAGGAACCTGAGTTTAAATCCTGTCATGGTAGTTGGTGGAATTTGAAATCAATAAAAAAATTCTGGAATTGAGAATCTAATGACAACTACAAAACCATTGTCTGGAAAACCCCTAAAATAAAACAAAGGATTGCAGATGCTGGAAATCTGAAAAAAAAATTGCTGGAGGAAACTCAACAGGTCTGGCACCATCTTCTTAAGAACAAGAGAGAAGGGTCACTGGACCTAAAATGTTAACTCTGCTTTCTCTCTACAGATGCTGCCAGAACTGCTGAGTTTCTCCAGCAATTTCTGTTTTTGCATCAGGAAAAACCTATCTGGTTCACTAATGTCCTTTAGGGAAAGAAGCTGATGTCTTTACCTGTCCTTACTGGTGGCATCTATCTGACTCCAGGTTTACAGCAATGTGGTTGGCTCTTAACTGCCCTCTGGACAATTAGGGATTGATAATAAATACTGGCCTAGCCAGCAACACCCACAATCTCATGAATATTTATGTTAAAACACCAGATTGTGATTTGATTCCTCTCAGCTGCCAAGCAGAAATCACATTTTAGCAGCGTTAATTGATATTGACATTGACAGTGTTAATGGGCCGTGGAAAAGGCTAGAACCAAAATATTCTGCAGATGTGAAAATACCAAGCTTAATGATTTACAAATAATAAACATAAATTGAAGCAGAATATAATTGAACTAAGAACACATTACATCAGTGTGTTCTATTATTGGAGTGGACAATGACAAAATAATTCTACTTGACAAAAATATTTCCATTATCATTCAGATACGAACCTCGTTCACGAAACATTGTGTGTTGAGCTAAAATCTTCCAAAGTCTTCGTGGTGCATATAATAATTCTGATCATGAATAATTCAGCTTTAAATTCACATGATTAGATACTGCTGATTCAGCGTAGTAAACTGTCAGAGATTCTTATAGAGAATGGTTGAAAATACCATGCTCAGTTTCAAGACCTGGACATTCTTATTTGTTGGCGATTGATATACCACGGTTAATATTTCACTGCTGATGAATTCCTGCGTAGAATTGATTTTTACGATATGTGCCCTGATTTATTTTCATCTCATCAACACTCTTATAGTGCAGTTTAGTTTGATAATCAGAGGACACTAACTACTATCAACATATTAATGCATTTAATATTTCTTCAAATTTAGTCAGATGTAAACCTCTCAAAAATTAGAGGGGAACTGGCATAGTTAATGTGTAACATGACGCATGAGAAACAGCTTGTAGCTTCACTTAATAACTTGCTTCGTAAAGAAAGACAGTTGAACAGTGGACACAAGGATCAACATGCTTTGTCTACAGTGTAACCACAAGGTGCTGGTTGGAGTTCTGTCTAGCCTTTTCATTGCATGTCTTTGGGGTGCCTGCTTCTGGGAACTGGCAGCCAAATTTAAATCAGGTAAGAAGTTCAGATGTGTTGCTTTTCATGACCAATTTAGTTTTTTATCCTCATCTATCGAAATTGCTGACTCATGCTAGAGGACAATTGTATAGGTGCCGGTCTCCTCCAGTATCCTGCTATGCTTAGATGTTGAGTAACTGCAGAAGACTTTTGAGCCCTAGATTACTTGAAGGGATGGTTTTCACTTTCAACACCTCTATAAAATCTGTAACAGATCAAGTGACAGCCAGACAGAAGTAGCTATTTTAGTTAGGATATCCTGAAGACCAGAACGAATTGGGCCAGGACAGGATCTGGATTCAATGTAGAAAGAAGTTCACTTATATAAGAGCAAGTGTAACACCTCTGTTCATGAAAGGACAGAGACAGGCAACTATAGACCTTAATATCTGACATTGCAAAATGCCAAAATACATTATTAGAGAAGTAATGTACACACATTTAGCAAGTCATAACATAGTCCCCAGGGTCAACATTGTTTATGAAAAGCAAATCAAGTTTGACAAATTTACGAGAATGCTACAATGTAATAAGTAGGGTGGATAAAGGGAACCAGCTCTGCAGTATTCAGATGTCGAAAAGGCATTCTATTGTGTTTTATGCCTCAGATTTATGCAGAGAAGACTCAGCAAGTTCAATGTGTGCGTGAGTTTTACTAACAGAGATTCTAAAATGCCTGCTGTCTCATGCTTCCAGGTTCTATTTAGTTTCTGTTTAGTTTCTCAGTAACCTTCACTGACAACATAAACAGTTACCAGAATCAAATACTGAATACATATTTTCACCTTTGTAAAGTTCAAATATCTTATTTTAAACTATATAAACAACAAACACATTAATATCGAGTAATATCTTACAGACCAGAGTGCCTTGTTTACTTGAAGTACAGCAATACTCCTCAAAATACAAAGGTCTCTGATGACTGTGCTGAAGTCTATGAACTTGCTGTTGTGGTTCTGCATGATCAGTTTGATGAGATGGATGACCAATGGCACAGCCACTCATTGGAAAAGGAAATTTTTCCTCGTAATCACTGTCCTTGAAATATCCTGATCTTTTAATGACCAAACGTCTTCCACATTGTGTTGTCATCCAACAAATTCATGTTACTGAGCAACCACTTGATCTGCTCTGGTCCTGGTAGATATAATGTATGTTCCTTGTCATGATTTAGCCATTGATACAATCCAATTTCCAATCTCAAATGGTAATTCTCTTGCTCTTGTTCAATTGTTGAGTACAGTTTTGTTTTACCTTACCACTTTGTAATGTCTTCTGCTTCGCTCTGGCATTCTCATCAGCTGGCAGTGAATAGTTAAGAATGGTCAGTGTATGCACAAGTCATGACCAGTTATAAAATTATAAAATGTCTTTCAGTGAGAAAGTGTGAGGTAAATTGCTATATGCAAATTTGTAAGAATGGATTGTTCCAATGTTTCCCTTCTCTCACACTAGCTCTCAGACTGAACATTGTTACACTGTTGAATTGTTCAACATCACCATTCCATTGTGGATTATATCACAACACCAAACGGTGGTGAATTCCATGAAGGGACTGGGAACAAACTGTAGTCTGTTGTCTATAGTGATAATCTCCAGCAAATTCCATTTTGGACACAAAAACAAAGTTGTTGCAAAAGCTCAGCAGGTCTGGCAGCATCTGTGAAGGAAAAAACAGAGTTAACATTTCGACCCTGCCTCAGAACTCATTTTTGGATAACTTGTCTAGAATGTTAATAATCAAAGTGGTGGACATCATATTTAATGTAGTGATTTCTGGCCATTTTCTATGTAGATCATGTACAAAAAATGTTGATCATTAAGGACTGCATGCATTTCTCCAAAAATATCAATTGCAAGTCTTTGCTAATGTGTTGATCCATTCCTGTCATACATCTTTGTGAAGTATCAAGGAACAATGCCAATTCTTTCATATTAAACAGGGTCAGAAGTGCATGAATGACTTTAATGTCACGTGTATGCTTTTATTAGTCAGAGTGTCAGTTGTAGAGTTGTGGGATGTAGTTTAACAGATTTTTACCAGGTGTACAAGCTACACAGTTTCTAATGAACTCACAAGATCTATTCCATCGTACTAAACTGCTTTACAGGATCATTGATTAATTTTAACATCACCGAGATGTTCCATACACATTGCTGGAATACTGGTAACTGCTTGGCTTCCGTGTGCAATGCAATTGTCATCAAGCAATGTCAGTTCATTACATATTCTGTAGTACAAGAACTAGGGTTGGTTAGTTCAGTTGGATGGACAGCTTGTTTACAATGCAATGTGATGCTCACAGCGTGGGTTCAGTTCCTGCACATACTGAGTTTACTGGGAAACTCCGCTTGTCAAGCTCTCCCTTTGCCTGAGGTGTTGTGACCCTCAGGTTAAACTACCACCAATTATCTCTCTCCCATAGGAGAGCAATCTAAGGTCTGGTAAAACTACAGAAATTTTGCCTTTAGTACAGGAACGGTTGTTTCTCTATTTCACAAAGCTTCCCAGACTTTAGGTAATGGCTGCAATATGCCGTTTGTTGCTGATTCTGCCTTCAACACCTCTCACGTAACAAGATTCACAGTCACATGTAAAATTAGTGTGATCACATTGTCTTCAATGTCACAAGTTATTTCACTATCACCGGTCTGCAAAAGTAGTTTAGCTAAGTAGGTAAGCTATTCTTGTGTGAACCTCTGTGAGCCTGTGAGATCTCAACCTCAAATCTTGAACAAGCTGGCAGCGGATTAACAGCGCAGCAGCCTGGTGTGGTGGTCTTCTCCCAGAATGGCGGTCTCCTCCTGGCTACATCTTCCCGATATTCCATTGTTCCTTAGTCAGCTTTCCCAGGCCCAGATTCTGTTAACTGAACTGTGATGAACTTTGTCTTAATTTTACTTTTTTTAATATTATGTATAATTTCTGTCATTAATTTAGGGACTGTGGTAGGGCAACTTATAAAACTTTTCACTGAATTTTTCATGTAAAAGTACACATGACAGTAAATTTATTTTCTATTCTATTCAAATGTGCACTGTTGAAGATGTGGATGTAAATATGATATCTATAGATATGTAGACATCGATGACCAAATCCCAGTGTGCCTAAAAATGTAGTCAGTTCTTAGTGATTGATTCAGAAAGTAAATTTTCTACCATAGTAATATATGCACTGATGTTTACAAACATTAGTGTGGCTAGTGCTTCTTGATCTCCACTTTGAATATTTACAGTTCCTGACCAACAGTTCCTGTGTAAGTGATTGGTGGTTCTCTTACTTCAATACACTGATTGGACAGCAACTCTGCTTTTCCTGATGTACGTTTCCATAAGTGCAGTAAAAAATGTAAGGTTTGGCGCAGGTGCTGTCCTTGCCATGTGTCAAGCATTGTTTTCTATGTGTTGCTCCATTCCTGTCATACATCTTTGTGAGGTATCAAGGAACAATGCCAATTCTTTCACATTAAACAGGGTCAGAAGTGCATGAATGACTTTGATGTCATGTGTATGCTTTACTCCAATTACTTTACATCTGTTCTAAATGCCAATCTTCGATGCTGCAATTGTGTATTTGTCCATGCTGAGTGTCAAATTGTTTTCAAGTCTAATGAGCACTGATAACCATTGATCATGGTCTGTTATACCCTTCATGGACAACAACATCATGGAATTGGTTGATTGTCCCCTCAACTTCTGAGAGGAATGAATAATAAAATTATAGGCTATGTTATCATTGAATATAGTCCATCGGACAATCAATAGTAGTGAAACACTTCTTCATGAGTAACAAAAGCTGTAGGATATCAGTTCTGTTCGGCTAGTAGTATCTGAAGATAGATTTATAAAATGTTGATCTTCATGAAAACAATGGAATTATGAAATGAAATGAATCATGGAAGGTGGATACTCCTTAAGTTGGAAGCAAAGATTACTTTGTTGATCATTATTTGTTTAGTACATGCTCTAAGTTCACCTTTTTTACATTGTGCAATGACTAGGTTTGATATCCACAGCAATGACTTGTTTTCTTCAATGAAACCATCCTCTGTAAATCATTTCAGTTCCTATTATACTTGAGTATGAATGGCAGTTGTCATCAGCTAATTTTGTAAAGCTGATAGAATTGACATGCAAGGCACATTTCCCCAAATTCGTAAGTAGGAAGGATATTGTTGGATATAGTCAGTGTCATTGATCATGAGTGTGCTTCAATGGATTCTTCAAGTTTGATGCCAAGCCTACCAAAAAGGTTCACTTCATAGCACCTCTGCCTTTGGCCACATATAATTGGAATCTATCTAGGTTGACATTTTGTCAGTACTGGAAATGTAACTGTTCCCAAAACTGGAATAATTAAAATTTCATAAGCTTGAAGTGTGTCTGTCACGGAAATGAGAGAAATTTGTTTTAAGTGCCAATGGTAGAATTCATACTTCCAGGCCAACATCAATGAGAAGCAGGCTTGAAAATGACCAGAGTCTTGGTTTGAGCATTCTTTTCAGCATCTGGTTCTTCATCATCCAGGGGATTGATTAGCTCAGTTGGCTGGACAACTGGTTTGTGATGCAGAGTGATGCCAACTTCTTCCCCTCACCTGAGGCATGGTGACCCTCAGGTTAAACCGCCATCAGTCATCTCCCTCTCTAAGAGAGCAGCCCTATGGTCTAATAAGAAAATGGTGATTATTCAATGCCATATCACATACTCAGGAATTCACAATAATGAAACCCTCTTCTATCTACTACCTGCACACCTTTGTGTAGTGGTTCCACTTTTTTCACTTAAACTGGACATGATGTTGTACATCCATGGGCACCTCCACAATATGGGGACACTTTTGAAGCATCTGATCATTGTAGACCCTCTGGCAGATCTGGCAAAATGTATACCTTTGTTACGATGGGGAACAGCCAAACCCCTCTGATAATTAAACTAAAACACAAGCCTTGATTTGTTATGACAGGAGTAGGGGTTCCCCTGTAATAATTACCCCTGAACACCCAGAGAAGCTCATCTTTCCCCTCATAATCTATTGAAAGAGTGGTTTCAAAAAAGAAAATCCCTGATCTCCACTTTACAAGTAACAATAAACAGTTTATTTATTTAACCCAACAATGAACAAATTAACAAAATTACTAACAAACCGACAATTTCCCCTTAGACTACTAATTACTCCCTAACTGGTCTACATTCACCTGGAATGCTGTTTAAATAAAAACAAGTCCTACTAATAAAACCCCAATTAGTAAGAAGCAGTAAATTATAACTTAATCTCTCCAAGTTAGCGCAGACTGTCTTCTGGAATATTCTGTCCACTCTCTTCACAAACGCCTTTCTTCCATTAATTCTATTGTCAGGGATGTTTTATTTCTATAATTTCTTCAATGAGGACTTTGAGCTAAAATACCATGGTGCCTTTGATTAATTAGGTGGGCTTTCTCTGCGAGCTGAATGGTACTAACTGTGGCTGGTAGCATTTGTCTCTTTCAGATAGCAGTTGGCTCTCTCCGATTTTCCAAATGCCGTCGTCTTATATACCCATAATGACATAATCAAATTCTTATAATATGATTGGTTTCAGGTTGTCAACACCATCAGATTTAAATTCAACTAGCTTTCTGTATCTAGGTGCTTTGTTTAAATTAATTGGCAGAATTCGTTGTCACGCCTGCCACCTTTAAGGCTTTGATACACTTGTTTCATTTTTTGAGGCTCTCTGTGCCAGCAACTTCAGCTGCTGCTCACAGAGATAGAAATTTTGTTTTAAAATTTCTAAGTGCAGACAAAGCACAAATCTCTTAAAGGAGCCACATATTTTAGATTCCTGCCTTCCACTTCACAGTTACTCCACCCAACTTCATAACATCTTCCAATCATCACATTTTGATTTGACTTGAAGTATTTTTTGAGCACATTTACTGCCACGTCAAATATAAATATGTCTTCTATCCGAAAATTCATTAACTCTCTGCTCCAAAAGAATGTACAAGCATTGTCTTCTTGCAGGTCACTGGTACATCCAGACTGCATCCTGAAGTCTGATGCAGTCATCTAAAAGGCAATAAGTCATGAACCCTAAAATTCAACAATCTCAAGCATAAATGGATCTCCCAGTGAAAAAAGGAATGTTGCTGGGAATTGACTATTTTAAAACAAAAACAGAAATTGCTGAAAAAGCTCTGCAGGTCTAGCAGGATCTGAGAAGAGAAATCAGATTTAACATTTTGGGTCCAGTGACACTTCCTCAGAACTCTTCCGCTCTAAGATATGCCATTGGTGTATTCAACTGATTTACATGTGTAGCCACAGAATGAATGCTCCTTCCAAGGTCATCAAGTCTTGGAGTATGACGCAAACCTAAGGTTTCTGCCTCAGAGACTGGAATGCTACTCATTGCGTTACAAGATCATCCATGAAATTACATGAATTGGGCTATTAATAATACTTGTTGAGTACTATTTAACGCAAGGAGCTTTAATGATGATATAGCCATTATGTCTCTTGATTATTTTGCATTTCAGCCTTTCTCAGATTTCTAAAGCGTACTTGTCAAAGATTTTGCAGGCAATTATTTATTGCTTTACTTTTTTATTGTATAACTGTGAAATTTGTGGCCTAAATTAAAGGAACGCCGAAGATATTAGTTTCAGATATCAGAAATGTGAGCACAAGTGTTAGGTTTTACACTTGCAGCTACAGCATCAGATTCATGCCAATATTTTTAAACATATTTACTTCATAAATATTGTATTTTGTTCATTTTTAGAATTTTCCATGAAACCATCATCACTCCCACCTGCCAACCCACAGGCATGTTACTGCCAAAACAATGGAACTTGTGAGAATGAAATCTGTGTTTGCCCAGATGAATGGAAAGGAGACCATTGTGAGATTGGTTTGTAGATCTGATCTTTTCTATCTGACAAGTTGACTACAATGGTAAATTATTAACAATCACTCATATTTCAATGAAAATTATATTGAACTATTTGTTGGAACCCACTGATTACACTATAACAAATGTAATTTGGTGATATGGCAATGAATTGTAATATTTTTAAAAGTAAACTCACAGTTCAGTTTGCCTCTTTATTAACTTAAGACAATTTCATTTGATTTCCTTGCAGCCAATTTTTGTGAAAAGAGTGAATACAATTCCTCTCAGGGACTGTTCACATTCCATAAAATTTTAGTCGGACACTATGGTTATTCTAAAGAAGAATGTGAGCCATACACTTTAAATGGTATGTTATCCTCTTGTTTTGGTATTCACAGATAGTTTTGTTCAATAGCTTAAATCAACAACAATGGTTCATTTAGATGTAAGTTCCTTTCTCATTATATACCTTGCATAAAAGAAAATCCACATAATTTGAACTTTATTATATCCGAATATCAAGTTGTCATCTGTCACGTTTCAAATACATTAAGGTACTTCTTTCTTCCAGTACTGACACTGGCTGTACTAATGTTTGCTAACTCCAACACCAATATCTATATCTCAAAGCATTTGTCAGAATATTTTTGAAAATTTACATTATTTATATTTACATATTGTATTCGAGTTGCAATATAAAAATAGTCTAAGATATCCAAAGGATTTTATACATTCTAAAACAAAGAACACTATTTTTAATATTCTCATATATAATTTTTTTTTAACTGATAGACTGTATCTTAGTTGTAAAAATTGCAAGATGGCATTAAATTATAAGATTTGCGTACCACTAATATCTCAACAGCAAATATTTCAAAAGCATCACGCCTGTGTACTGAGAAGAATGGAATCATCAGTCTACAAAATGACACATTAACAGATTGCAATGAAAATTTAAAGAATCTTAGCGAGAAGGTAATATCTTATGCCTGAGTTGCCAGTTAATAACAAGCTGAACCAAAACAAAGGGGGAACAGAATCATAAAAAGAAAGAAAAAGGACAATAAAATAAACAATGACACTTAAGCTGTATCAAAGATATTATTCTCTCTTAACTAGAGGACAGTTTAACTTGTTATTATGTGCACAGAATTGTTGACTTCATCATTGAGATACTTTTATGATCAATCATATACTTCCCAGAAAATATGTACATATCTCTGTAACAAATAAAAAAAAACACAGTAACACTGACAAAGGACTAACATAGATTTCCCTTTATCCTGATAGTTAAGAAGAAAAATCTTTTATAAAAAAAAATACTTTGACAACCTGAGGACATCTTAAAGTGCTTCAGTCAACAATATATTGTGAAATGTATGTATCACCACTATGTAGACAGGAATAACATTTAATTCTGCACAACATAGTTCTATCTTTAATTTCGAGGTGTTGATTGATATATACATGTTGGACAGGACACTGGGAAAACTCCCCTACTCACATTTGGGTCATTTATGTTCACTTAAACAAACTGAAGCAGTGCCTTCAAAAAAACAATACCTCTAGCTATAGAGTTTTTCTTCAGTGCTCCGTTGATGTATCAGCAGAGATTACATTCTCAAACTCCTGAAGTGAAGTTTGAGCCCACAATTTTGAGATGAGAACATAATCTTTGAGCAAAGCTTTCAAATCAGATGATCAGAACCTACCTTCAATTCAACACCAACGAAACTAAATCATTCAATCTTAGAGATATGAGAGCTATGCAATGCTTATCAACATTATACAGTGGCTCAGTGATTAGCACTGCTGCCTCACAGCACCATGGACCCGGGTTTGATTCCAGCCTCAGACGACTGTCTGTGTGGAGTTTGCACATTCTCCCCGTATCTGTGGGTTTCCTCCGAGTGCTCTGGTTTCCTCCCACAGCCCAAAGATGTGGAGGTTAGGTGGATTGGCCATGCCAAATTACCCATAGTGTCCAAGGATGTGCAGGCTAGGTGGGTTAGCCATTGGAAAGGCAGGCTTACAGGGATAGGGCAGGACGGTGGGATGTTCTTCGGAGCGTCAGTGTGAACTTGATGGGGCAAATGGCCTGCTTCCACACTGTAGGGATTCTATGATATTAGTTATCTTTCTTATCTGTATTTAACTATCGGCACGTATCAATTAGGGAGCTTATATATAATCAATGTTTGTGTAATTTTTTTGTTCCATTGACAGATAATGAAATACAGTGGCATTACAGAACAAGAATTGGTGAAAATTGCAATGGCTGCTCAGATGCTGACCTCAGAACCACATGAACTAACTTCAGAGAACATCAGCCTCGCTGCTCAAATAGTGCAACGCATTTTGAATCAGTCTGATATACTGGACTCAGTTGAGGTGAGATGAAATTACTGTTTCATTCATTTTGAAATGAAATGGTAGAGAGCAGCCTAAAATTTTAGAATAAGGCCAGTTGACAGCTGAGTGGTATTTACCGCTGGGCTGTTATTCCAGAAACTCAGGCAATGTTCTGGGGACCCAGGTTCGAATCCCACCACAGCAGATAGTGGAATTTGAATTCAATAAAACTCTGGTTCACTAATGCTTTTTAGGGAAGGAAACTGCCATCTTTACCTGGTCTGGCCCACATGTGACTCTAGACCCACAGTCATGTGATTGACTCTTTACTGCTTCCTGGACAATTAGGGATGGGCGATAAATGTTGGCCTAGCTAGCAACACCCTCATCCTGTGAATAAATAAAAACAAATGAAACTGAACTGGACAGGCCAAATAGAGTCATAGAGTCTTACAGTATGGAAACGGGTCCATCAATCAAATCTGTCCATGCCAACCATAATCCCAAACCAAACTAGTCCCACTTGCCTCCAAACATTTCTTATTCATGTACTTTTCCAAATGTCTTTTAAACATTGTAACTGTACCTGCATCCAGCACTTCCTCTGGAAGTTCATTCCACACACGAACCACTCTCTGTACAAAAAAGTTCACATCTTTTTTATAATCTTTCTTCTCTGACCTTAAAAATATGTCCCCTAGTCTTCAAATCCCCCACCTTAGGGGAAAGATACCTGCCATTCACCTTATCTATACCGCTCGTGATTTTATAAACCTCTATAAGGTCACCCCTCAACCTCTTACACTCCAGTGAAAAAGGCCCCAACCTATTCAGCCCCTCCTTATAACTCAAACCATCCATTCCTATTAACATTCTGGTAAATAATAAATATTGCTGAAAAAACAGATCAGAAATAGGGAAACCTGTGGTGAGTTAAGCCATCTTCTGATTCTACAAAACTTGGCAATCACAAGGCCAAAGTCAGGATTGTGATGCAATACTCAGTTTCCCTTCTTAAGAGTCAGGACCCTCATCTCAGAATCAACTACCTCACTCTCCATCAAAGTAACTTTGTGGCTGTTCACCCTGCAGATTTTATATACTGCTGCTATGGGTGTCCGTGGTTGTAGGGATAAACATTAAGTGCAGTAGTTGGGTTGTAATCAAGCAAATTGCTCTGTTCTGGATGATGTTGAATGACTTGGCAATTTACTTGCTTTGAAATGGTTGTATGAATCTAAACATCTCTGGTTTTCGGTTTATGATTTACAGGCGGCTTCTTTGGCAATAAATATAATCAGTCAACTTCTCAATGTTAATGAAACAGCGTTCGATCCCACAAACAAAGATATCTTTAACATCACACAAAGGTGAGGCAATCTTCAGGTATATGCATCAAGAATCAATGTAATGAATCTTTGTTAGTGTTGAACACACAATCTGGCAATACCAGCTCGCAAAGGAAAACGGTGGTTCTATGATTTTACCAGTTGAACTGTATGGGAGTTTTGGCTGTCCAGTAACAGCACATTTTATTCAAATGTTCAGTGTATGTACTATTGAAAAAATAATTTGTTTGATGCTGAACTTTTCATAATGTAAATATGTTTACAGTAGAAGAAACGTTTGTAGCTGTTACATTTTTCAGACATCTTAAAACTTTCTTTATGCAGGTTTGAAGTAATCAAGTCTGGATATCCTTCCAGCAAGTCCTATTTGGTGATCAGTTATGTTATATCTTCATAAGGTCCCTCCTCCTGGCTTCAAAATTGAGTGTCATATCAGAACTCAATCATATTGAACAATGAAAATCTAACTTATATATACTTTCCGCACAAAGTTTATCTCCCACTCTCCAAGGAGACAAGAAATAAAAAGCAGACACCCTAGAAATTTAATTGTGCCCCATAAGTGAGAACTGGTAGCATGCTCAGTAATCAATAGTATCATTTATTCATGTCAACATGAAGATTTGATAGAAACTCGTTAACAGGAGTCAGAGGCTGAGTATAATAACTCATTGGCTACTCACCTTTTTAAGAGGAAATTGACATAAAATAGGTGGAAAGGTCCAGCCAAAGCACATAAGTTCTCTTTTGTTACTTAATAGGCTCTGGCCTTGGTGTCAACAGGAGTGGGAAAATCCTATTCTGCTTAAGGGTGGAAAGTTCTGCAGGTAGTACTCTGCTCCAATAAAAAAAACAAGATACCACAGATGTTAGAAATCTGAAATGAAAAGAGAAAAGGCTGGAAATATCCAAAAGTGCAGATAATATTTTGAGAAAGAGACAGAAAAACTTCCCATGACTTACTGTGAGAATTGGACATTGGACAAGACATCATCAGTCTGAAATATGAGCACTGTTTCTTTCTCCATAGCTGTTGCCTGACCTGTTGAACATTTGTAGCATTTTCTGTTTTGACTTTCAGTCACACTGGTGCCATGGAAATTTTGATATTTGTCAACTTGCCTCTGGGAACCAGTGTTGACAGATGTTTTCACTGTGGCCTGGGGCCGGGTTAGAATCTGTGTCTGATTCCTAATAGTTTGTCTGTGTGTAATTGTTCCAGTTTAGCAGCATCTTCAATGTCTCCTAATCAGAAAATATAAGGTCACCATAGTCCTAAAGGGTTGTTCTCTCATTAGAGATACATGGCAGGTGATGAGTTTAACCTGAGAGTCACCACACCTCAGGCCAGGAAAGTGGTTGAGAAGGTAGGATCTATTATAGTTACTTCAGCCAGTGTGGGAATTGAATACCACACTATTGTCAGCACTCTGCATTACAAACCAGCTAACTGAGCTCACTGTCTACAGAGTTAAACAAGAATCAGTGTACTTAACCAGAACAATGAAGATTTGCAGATTCATATATCTTCTAAGAAAACTTGAGGTACTGTTAATTGGGATTGTTATTTGGGCTTTAGTTAGGTCAAGAATGCATAGGTTTACATCCTGCAGGATCAAAGCTTTAGTTAAAGCTGAAACAATAATGCCTAAATGTTGACCCTATGTATATGTATTTTAGAAACCAAAAAGCTTCTTATTAAATCTGTGAGTGAAATGCACTCTTTATATTTATTCCTTGTATAGGGACAATGAAACAAACAAATGTTATGGTTCAAAAATACAAGAAATGCTTTGCTGACAACTGTGGCTTTCATACACTGATGATTGTAGTGTCAGTCAAATTTCACCTCAATCCACCTCAAAAATAAAGACAATTTCATGGCAAATAAACCACTAGTTTAACACTTAAAATGTTGTATTTGCTGGTGGTATTTATTGAAAACAGATGTTACTTTAGTAAGTGTAAGACAGATTGTGAGCTCCAGTTTCACCAGCATTTGCACCAGTGACATGTAATCTGAACACAAACTAATAATGTGACTAAAAGATTACTGCATAACTACAATGGGCTGAACTTTTGCAAAGTCATGGAGACTCTGCAGATCTTTAAAAATGGTCAGTTTATGGGATTTCTTGCCGCAATTCTGGTGTTCGACTTCTCACTGGCTTGGATGAAGGGTGTTTTGGCATATGAACTTGTTTTCCTGACCTGGCTGGTTCTATTGTGGTGTAGGCATCTCCTAGACCTCCACAATTGTTGTGAAGTCAAAACAAGTTCTGAAAGATTCATGGTTCACAACCCCTTGGAATTGTCATGAACCATAGTATCGATTCAGAAACCAAGAACCAAGTGCTGCCACCTACAGCAGCAGACTCTGCTTCTACTTTCTGTATGGTCCTGTTTGTCAGTATTTTCAACCAGCTTGGTGCTGTTCCCTCATAATTAGCATTAGATTTAGAATTAAAATAGAATTAGAATTTGATTTTATTGTCACGTGTACTCAAGTACAGGAATACCGGAGTACAGTGAAAAGTGTACGAAGTCCCCATTCTCTGCACCATCTTGGTTACACATTTGATTACAAAACTGGAATAAAAAGGAACAGCAGAAATAAAGGAAACAAAGCTAAAAGGAACGAGAAACATCCATGTATTAAAGTCTTACTTAAGTCTTATCTCCATGCAGGCACCCAAACAACAGCCTGGAGTCTGCCACAACTCTCTCCCAACATTTCTTTCATGTGACAAGTGGGAAAATGGAGTGGGAAAGGAAAAATTGCAGCTGCCTGGCTACTTAACTTCACCACCTGTAATATCAGAGATTGGCAAAATGATGTTAGATAGCTGCCCTGGTGGCATCATTCCATATTTTATATAAGTATGGGGTCACCCCAGCCAGAATGAGGCCGTGAATCCAGCTCTATATGTATTTGTGTATATGTGTTTCTAATACTTGCAAATAAGGTACTTATTTTGCATTTCATTCTAGTGTTACAGAGATTTTGGGAGATGTTCTCACAGATTTAGAAATTAATTTCAGTCAGGTGGTCCAGCCCAACCTTGCAGCTTCATCCATCATATTAGAGAATGGCACAACACATGGAATTATGCTGTCCGTATTAAAAGGTACAGCTTTACTTGATCTTATTTTTACTACAGGATACACAGTCATAGAGCATCTACAGAAGAGCCATTTTTTTTAGATAACAAGAAACTTTATTGCATGATAGTAATAAGTATAACTACATTTGATCAGGCAAAATTCATATAAATGATCTGGATGTGAATATAAGAGCTATATTTATTAAGTTTGCAGATGACACCAAAATTTGTGGTGTAGTGTACAGCAAAGAAGGTTACCTCAGAGTACAATGGGACTTGATTAGATGGGCCAATGGGCTTAGGAGCAGCAGATGGAGTTTAGTTTAGATAAATGTAAGGTGCTGCATTTTGGAAAGGCAAATCAGGGCAGGACTTATATACTTAATGGGGTGCAGGTTCATGGTTCCTTGAAAATAGAGTTGCAGATAGACAGGATAGTGAAAAAAGGCATTTGGTATGCTTGCCTTTATTGATCAGTGCATTGAGTTTAGGAGTTGGGAGGTTATGTTGCAGCTGCACAGGACATTGGTTATTTTGGAATACTGTGTTCAATTCTGGTCTCCCTTCTATAGGAAAGATGTTGTGAAAGTTGAGAGGGTGCGGAAAAGCTTTACAAGGATGTTGCTAGGGTTGGAGGGTTTGGGCTATAGGGAGAGGCTGGTTAGGCTGGGGTTATTTCCCCTGGAGCATCAAGGTTGAGGGGTGGCCTTATAGAGGTTTATAAAATCATGATGGGCATGGATAGGGTGAATAGTCAAGGTCTTTTCCCCAGGGTAGAGGAGTCCAAAACTAGAGGGCATATGTTTAAGGTGAGTGAGGAAAGTTTTAAAATGGACATAAGAGGCACTTCTTCACGCAGATGGTGGTGCATATATGCAATGAGCTGCCAGAGGAAGTGGAGGAGGCTGATGCAATTACAACATTTAAAAGCCATCAGGATGGGTATATGAATAGGAAGGGTTTAGACAGATGTGGGCCAAATGCTGGCAAATGGGACTAGAATAATTTAGGAAATCGTGGACGAGTTAGACTGAAGGGCCTGTTTCCTTGCTGTACATCCAAGACTCTAATTACCAGGACCTTAGAGAGCTGGTATCAGCTCCCAATGAAAGCTAAAGTTGAACTCCCTGTCTCTACTTGCAGGCTGTGAGTGACACATTGAGTGGAGCCTATGTAAAATGAACATTAACTTTTTCAAAACCATTATCTATTTATAGATCCCTTCCCAAGCATTCTGTTGTATAGTTAACCTACTATGCAATCTTGTATATAACATTAGTACATTTAGTACCAACCCAAGTCTTCCCAAGTCACTGACTTCACAAATACAAGCAGGACATAGAAACCATAGAAATGAAACAGCACCATTTGGCCCATCTTGTCTATGCCAACCTAAAAACACAGAGATAACCTTTCTAATCCCATATTCCTGCATGTGACCCATAGCCCTGCAGCTTACAGCACTTAAAGTGCAGATCCAGGTACTTTTTGAAAGAATTCACAGTCTCTGCCTCCAACACGAACTCAGGCGGCAAATTCCAGACACCCACCACCCTCTGCGTAAAAATGTTTTTCCTCACGTGTCCTCTAATTCTCTGCCACATAGCTTGAACCTATGACCCCTAGTTTTTGAACTTTCTGCCTACTCTATCTCTACCTCTCACTATTTTGGATACCTCAATAATGTTACTCTCAGCCTTCTCTATTCCAACGAAAACAGCTCCAACTTCTCCAATTTCTCCTCATAGCTACAATTCTTCAGCCCTGGTAACATTTTAGCAAATTTTCTTTGCATTCTCTTCAGATCAATTATGTCCTTCCTGTAATATGGTGACCAGAACATTTCACACTTTTCTCAGAATGTACTCTCTTTGGTTTTCGAAGAATGGTGGATCTCTTGCTTGAGGATTGTGGACCCTGATTATGATCTATTGATCATTACTTCTAGGTCTTTTGAAACATTTCTTGATGTCATCATATGTAATCTGAACAATTATTTCTTCTTTTTAAGTTCTGCCATGAGTGAATGAGATCTTATAAAGGTTGGCCCTTGACTAGATGGTTGACTACAGTTTTAATGCTGGTCCAGTCCTTTAACTACCGTTTGCTTCTGGAGCAGTGGTTTGGCAACAGTTTGTTCATGGATCATGTGTTGTGTTGGAACTTGTGAGACTCTTTTTGACTTCTTAAAGAAATTGAAGTCCAAAATGAATGCTGACTCAAAAGTGAGGAGCATTGATTGTGAATTTTGCCAGCAATGTCTGTTTTTATTTCAATGCTCTTAAAGTGATAACCTCATTTCTTTATAAGTATTTTCTTTGCTTTTGGATTTCCTTTTTTTCATGGTGGGGTCCAAATCCTCACCACTCCACCCATGTGATATTTTCCCAGTATGTATTTCAGGCATTTGCCACCTCTCCTATTTCTGGTATTGGGTAAGTGTTGTTTGAGGTAGTTTGCTACCACCAATCCTCCTCTATCTTTGCTTTGTTTTGGACCTATCCAGTGATTAATGGTGGAGAATACACCACTGTATGGTATCTTTAGAAGAGACATTGTTTTACATAACATGAATGTCTATAGCATGATAGCAATAAATACATTTGGTAAGGCATAATTATTAGGACTTTATGAAGCATGTTATGTGTATATCTGCACCTTCCCTCCAAAAGCTAGAGTAGAACTCCTTGTCTATGGTCACAGACTGTGTATGATGCCAGTAGAATGGGTGAAGCCAATACCCCTTTAGATCGTGGACAATACCCCTTCAGAACTGTTACCTTATACAATATCATCCCACTGTAGAAAAGAAGGAAATTGTTTTCCAATCAGGTGAAAAACTGAAGAAAAGCCAGGAAGTAGGAAGTGTGTGCTAACCAACTGGCATTGCATTGTTACTAAAAAAAGAGACAGCACTATCTATGATTTTTTTAGCAAATTCTCACAACTCTTCGGCTATTTCATCATATGGGCCTTTTTAGTGTTATGCTCCCAACTGATGGTAATACTGGAAATGTCAGATGCCAAAGTAAGACCTGGCTTGAAAAACCATATGTTTTATTGTTCTTTTTGTTTGCAGTAAAGGTCAGTTCCTGAACATATTCACAAAAAGCTGCCAAAGTACTTTTGACAAAAGAACAAAGAAGTTTCTTACACAAAAGAAAAACATGAAACATAATACACTGTAAAATAACTATTTGATATGGTTTCACTACAAATGTCAGTAAGAAAGACTGAACTTTTATCCCAAAGCCAATCTTACAGATATCCGAACCACAGTGAAGAATCTGAGATAACAAGGTGTAGAGCTGGATGAACACAGCAGGCCAAGCAGCATCAGAGGAGCAGGAAGGCTGACGTTTCGGGCCTAGACCCTTCTTCAGAAACCTGCTTCCACGCTAAAGCTCCTTGTTCAGCCAGCACAGCTGCAATCTGTTTCTTTTTGACAAATTTATGCATTAACCCAGTGCTATTTTCTTTGGTTAATGTCTCTTTCTAAGACACTTAAACTATCTGCTAACTCGTCTCACTTACTACTGGATATGGGTTCTTTATATCCACATCTTCAACAGCTTTGTAGGATATCTTTCCTTTTTGATGCCTCCACAGCCTTCTGCTTCTGAGTTTTCTTCTAAGCAGCTCAGGATTTTTACCCAGCCCTGATGGCCTGGTCTGCTAGTAACAGCATCTCTGCTGTTAGGAACCTCTTCTGTCTGACTGAACTGATTTATTTTTCTGAATGAAACTGCTTCCAAGCCCTTCTCTCTCTTTCTTTCTGGGTTGTAAACCTCAAGTCAACAAATACTAGACCAGTTACCTTCTGGGGCGGTAGGGGGCAGTAGGGAATAGGGAAATGTGGTTTGCTAGACGTATAGCTAAAGTTATGTGATTTCTTCAACATACCTAGTGACTTTAGCTCTCTGTTCGAAATTACTTCCTGACTTTAAAAAAACAATCAAACCTTCAAAAAGTTGAAAACTAAAATCTATTTTCCTTCACTTTAGAATCTAAGTTTCCAAATAAGAATACTATATTATGAGCCATTATCACATCAGGGATAGGTGATTTTCATTCATAAAGCTCTTTCTCTTCCTTCTCAGTCTGTGTTGAAACCTGGGAAGACAGAAAGATACAGGTGAAGAATAAATAAAGAATGAGAAGTTTTAAGAGGCTCAGAAGTTATTGAGGAGAAATAATTTGAAGAGAGTGAGAGGACCATAAGTAAACTAGGAGGGAGAGAGAAGATAGGCAGATATAACAAAAAAGAGAATGGGCAGAATTTAATGCCCACAATATTCACACAAAATTCCAATATTTTTAACAGAAGAACACAAGTTTATCACCCAAGGAAAATAAACAGTTAAAGTTATACCCAAGACATTTCAGAAAGATCTTTACATAAACAGAAAAACAAAAGTTTTAATCTTTTTCCTCAAAGCATCCTGTGAAGTGTCACTCTTATTTTAGATCTTATATAACTGACTCTACCCAATTTTGCAGACCTAGAGAAAATTTTCCAGTGCTGTTGGTCTTAACCTCTTTTCCGTTCAATTAGCTTGAAAAAATCTACACAAATGCTCACGGATTGGAGATTTCACAAACCAACCTGCACTTCTTTTGATGTGAAATCTGAACTGAAGTTTCTTCTGAAGTGAGCTCAAGTTATTATCGACCCCTGGTCAGTTTTTTCTGTGTGTCACAAAATTTCAATTTTGCAAACCCTTGATCAATTAAATCCACAGGATTATATACTTGTTTGAAAATAATATAGTTAGTTCACTGTTCCAAATATCCTTCTGACATCATAAAACAAAACAGTCATCTTCATAGAATTAAAACACATATCTATTTTACTTTCATGTTCAGATCTAAATTCCAAATGATTGCAATCTATTGTACACTTTTTATCACAAATGCAGTCAACATTAGATCACACTAAATTCCTACTAATCCAAGGTTACTCTTACAGATATGCCCACAAACGACTTAAAGATGAACCATTGTTATCTGATATTTTTTCAGATTTTACTGTGTCCCAGCAAGATGAGAATATTTTAAATTACTGACATTTCTAAAATTATGCATTGTCTCTATTACAGGATGTGATGACACTTTAGTATCGAAACGAATTGAGTTGAACACCAATGCCACAAAGTTCTTACTCAATACAAATGCAGAAGTTCAAATGTTTGTCAATGTTTCCACAAGTAAGTATGTAGCTCCCTGATTTCTTCAGAGAAGCCATTTTAGTAACTCATAAAAAAACTTTTTAGAATTGTTTTTCATTATCCTGGGCTTTCAGATTTCTGAGTTACAAATAACAATGACATAATTGCTTTTACAACAACTAACTTAACATGCCCAAATCAGGTGGTGCAGATGTTTTCCACTACAATTCCATGTCATTATAGACTTTATGTAGGTGTGATTAATGCACATGTTGAGGTTAATGTCTCTGAAAGGTTCAGGTTTTACAGGACAGCATTAGGGTACGGAAACAGAAATTTCCAAAAAGGCTCAGCAGGGCTGGCAGCTGCCACACCTGTTGAACCTTTCCAGCAATTTCTGTTTTTGTTTCTGATTTCCAGCATCCACAGTTCTTTTAGTTTTTTTAACAGGGCATGGAATTGAGTTCAGAGTTTCCTTTGATTATTATTGCCAAGGAAAGGCTGAGGAAAGGAGATGAGGGGTAAAACATTGATGATAGGGGACCACTGGCAAGCAGGTTGTGATTAATCTTCTGCCTCCCAAATCAGTAAAAGGATCTGATTTAACGTTACTTAAAGCTGCTTCCAAATTTCAAAGTAGATTACTTCAACGGCATCTGCTATCTTTCACATAGGTTTGACACATTCTGTGTACTGTAGCCAGTGCCCACAATGCTACAGTGCTTTCTTCCCTAGCAGCAATGAACTTCTATAGAAACAGTACAGCTGAGAATTTGCCATGCATATGTGTAATTGACTTTGAAACAGGATAATGACTTTGTATAAAACAAAGAACTGTGGATGCTAGGGGTCGGAAACAAAAACAGAAATTGCTGGAGAAATTCAGCAGGTCTGGCAGCATCTGTGGGAGGAAAAAAAAGTGAATATTTCAGGTTTGGTGACTCTTCATCAGAACTGATAGCAGCTAGGAAAAAGTGGTATTTATTCTGAAGATAGGGATGGGCAGGCAACACACCATACCAACACTTCTGTCTCAAGCCTGCTGTAGTGCTCTAGGAAGGCTTAGCACAAGCTTAAAGAACAGCATTTCATCTTTCGCTTGGGGACCCTAGGATTCAAAGTCAAGTTCAATAACTTTCAAAAACCGGAAGAACTGCGGATGCTGCAAATCAGGAACAAAAACAGAAGTTGCTGGAAAAGCTCAGCAGGTCTGGCAGCATCTGTGAAGGAAATAATCAGAGTTAATGTTTCAGGTCCAGTGACCCTCTTTCAGACCAAGGGTTACCGGGCCTGAAATGTTAACTCCGATCTCTTCTTCACAGATGCTGCCAGACCTGCTGAGCTTTTCCAGCAACTTCTGTTTTTGTTTCTGATTTACAGCATCCGAAGTTCTTTTGGTTTTTGTTTCGTATTTAACTCACTGCCACATCTCTTCTAGGCATGCACACCTTGAAGAAGTTCTGCTCCTCCCTCCGATGGGATTTCCGTTCCAATCTTTCTTCTGCACCACCGACATTCATTTCACTATTATTCCTGGTATTTGACTAAGTATTTGCTAAATCTCAATTCAACAGCCATATCACATTCCTCAGTGACTGCCTCCGACTCAGACTCACCCCACGTGGATTCCAGCTGGAGTTTCATCCCTCATGTTTTGCAACCTCCCAGGGTCACAGATATCTCCACGATGTTCAACATTCCACAGACAGCTGCTCTCACTGCATCCTGAGATCTACACTCAGTGCCATGCAGAGTCACATGCACACTCTCGATCTCTCTCTCTGTAGCATCGCATCATGCTGGCTCAGGGCTGCGCCACTCCACAGTTCCACGTCATCCTCCGGCTCATTCTTTTCCTTTCAGGCATCAAGGCCCACAAGATGCAACAACTCCAAGATACCCATGGCCCTCTGGAACCTTCCACTTCCGTCTTTCCTTCTGACTCCATCCCCTCTCCTAAACCCACTGCCTGTCAAGTATTCACCATCCCTCCTAACCTTCCGCTCTCCGATGATGAATGTTTTGTACTCAGCAAAGGCCTCAGCTTTATTGCTCTGCGTCCCCACCTTAATGAATTTCAGGCACGACATAACGTCAAACTCTTCTTCCATCGTCTTCGCTTCCGTGCCCATTTCTTTGGACAAGAGCCCTCTCCCTGTCCCACAGACTCCTTTGCCCAGTTCCAACACTGTCTCTCCACCTGGACCCCAACCTCTGGCCTTATACCTGCACTCAGTCTATTCATTGAGAACTGTTGACATGATTTTGGTTGCCTCAATATCTCTGCCCCCCTCACTAAATCCAACCTATCTCCCTCTGAACTTACTGCACTCTGTGTACTTAGATCTATCCCTGACTTTGTTCTTAAGTCTGCCAACAAGGGTGGTGCTGTTGTAGTCTGGCGCACTGACCTCTACGTTGCAGAGGCTGAGTGCCAGCTCTCAGATACCTCCTCCTACCTTCCCCTGGACCATGACGCATCAGACCATTGTATCTTCTTTGGCAACTGATCTCATTTCATCTGGTGACCCACTCCCCACCCCACAACAACTGCTTCCAAGCTGATTGTGCCCCAGCCCCACACAGCTCGCTTCTAGCTCCTTCCAAAGATCCACAAACAAGACTGGCTGGGCAGACCCATTGTTTCAGCCTGCTCCTGCCCCACAGAACTCGTCTCTTCCTACCTTGACTCAGTCTTTTCTCCCATGCTCCGATCCCTGCCTGCGTACATCTTTGATTCCTCTGACACCTTACACCGGTTTCAAAACTTCCAGTTTGCAGGTTCCAGCCACCTCCTCTTTACCATGGACGTGCAATCCCTTTACACGTCCATTCCCCACCAGGAGGGTCTTAGGGGTCTCTGCTTCTTCTTGAAACAAAGACCTGAACAGTTCCCCACCCACCACTACCCTCCTCCGCTTGGCTGAGCTCATCCTCACCCTCAACAACTTCTTTTTTAACTCCTCTCATTTTCTTCAGGTCAAAGGGGTGGCCATGGTTACCCACATAGGCCCTAGTTATGCCTGTTACTTCGTGGGGTACATGGCACATTCCTGTTCCAGTCCTATTCCAGCCTCCACCCACAACTCTTTCTCCGAATGATATCATCAGTACTGCTTCCATCTCTCGTCCGGAATTGGAGAAGTTCATTTCAATTCGCTTCCAATTTCTGCCCTGCCCTCACTTTCACCTGGTCTATCTCTGACTCCTCCCTTCCCTTCCTCAACATTTCTGTTTCTATTTCTGGGGATAGACTGACCGCTAATACCCAATATAAGCCCACTGACTCCCACAGCTACCTGGACTATACATTTTCACACCCTGCTTCCTGTAAAGACTCCATCCCATTCTCTCAGTTCCTCCATTGTCATCGGGTATGTTCAGATGAGGCCAACTTCGACAAGGGAGCCTCGAAAATGTCCACCTTCTTCCTCAATCGAGGATTTCCCAGCACCATTGTTGACAGGGCTCTCAACCGGGTCCGACTCATCTCCCGCACTTCTGCCCTCACCCCTTCTCTTTCTTCCCACAACAGTGATAGGGTTCCCCTTGTCCTTACCTACCATCCCACCAGCATCCACATCCAGAAGATCATCAGATGCAATTTCTGCTACCTCCAGTGAGATGCCACCACCATATTCCCTTCCACTCCCTTGTCTGCCTTTCACAGGGACCGTTCCCTCCGGGACACCCTTGTCCACACTTCCTTCATCCCCCAAACCTCCACAGCCCTACGGCACCTTCCCTTGTAACCGGTGAAGGTACAACACCTGCCCATTTCCTCTTCTCTCCCCAGTATCGAAGGGCCCAAACATACCTTCCAGGTGAAGCAACACTTTACCTGCACTTCCCACAATCTAGTCTACTGCATTCGCTGCTCACAATGTGGTCTCCTCAATATTGGGGAAATGAAGCGTAGACTTGGTGACCGCTTCGCAGAACATCTACGTTCTGCTCGCAAAAAAAACCCCAAGTTACCTGTTATAACAAGGTGTAGAGCTGGATGAACACAGCAGGCCAAGCAGCATCAGAGGAGCAGGAAAGCTGACATTTCAGGCCTAGACCCTTCTTCAGAAAAACATCAGCTTTCCTGCTCCTCTGATGCTTTTT